GGTTCCTGCTCTGCCTGCTCCCGTCCATCCTCAGAGCCCGGGCTAGCCCCGAGACCAGGCCCAGCTCCCCGCTGTGCCAGCAGGTAAGGCTGTTTTCCAAGGAGCACCTGGGCTGGGATGGCTCCAGCAGCGTGGCTGGTGCTGCCAGCATCGCCCTGGATCTCTTCCCTGTGGCTCTCACCTCCCTCCAGCCTCCATCTCTTTAACTTTCCCAGCTTTTCCTCTGTTTTCCTGCCTTGGAGCTGGTTTCCTGTGAGGTGGTCCCTGGCATCCAGCTGCTCCCACATCCCTGCTGTGCCTGAGGTGCTGAGAGGATGGAGGGCAGGGATTCCAGTGAGGCAGTTGGGAGCCTGGACAGGGATCAGCCGGTTTCTGTCTCCCCAGAAAAGAATCAGCTGCTCCCCATCCAGGTTCCTAACTCCACAGGAAACTGGAGTGAGAGGAAAGGTGGAGCCTACACAGCACCCTTCCTCTGCCTAAACAGGGATGCTCTGGACCAGCTGGGCTGGGGAAGGGGGAGCAGTGCTCATTCCCACTTCTCATGCCCATCTTGGACAGCAGCTGGCCTGTAGCCCCCCCTCATTCACACGTCTCCTGTCTCTCCACAGAGCCCCACGAAGGTGTCTTGCAAAGGAGTTGGCCTGCAGAAATTTCCCAAGGAGCTTGGCCAAGGAATTAAGTACCTTGAACTCTCCAACAACTTCATCCAAAACCTGTCAGGCAGCAACATGCCAGGATTTGGGCAGCTGGAGTACCTGGATGTGTGCTTCAACCAGCTGGAATCCGTGTCAGCCGCCGCCCTGGCTGAGCTGCCTCGGCTGCGCTCGCTCCTCCTGGGATCAAACCACCTGGACCGGAATTACTTGGCTAACGGGGAAGCTTTCCATCTGCTCAGGAATATAGAGGTCCTGGACCTGTCTGTGAATAACCTGGAGAGCCACATGGCCAGCTGGTACATCAACAACCTCACCAGCCTGAGGGTGCTGGATCTCTCCGGGAACACGATGACCAAGCTGCTGGCAGGAACCTTCCGGAACTCACCGCGGCTGCGCCAGCTCGACCTCAGCAGCAACTACATCATGGAGATCCAGGAGGGAGCTTTTGAGCCTCTGGAAGAGCTGGAGGTGCTGAACTTGGCTTTGAATTCCCTCCACTGTATCTCTGGCTTCAGCCTCACGCAGCTGCAAATTTTAAACCTCAGCCACAACACCCTGGAGCTCTTCTCCGAGGAGGAGGGAGCGGAGCCCTACCTGCTCCGAGTGCTCGACTTGAGCCATAACAGACTCCTCTCTTTCCCAGAGCTCCCCAGAGCCCATGATCTCACACACTTAAACCTCTCCAACAACCTCATCTCTTCCCTGCTCCCAGGCTCACCCTATCCCAGGGAGGTCATCGTGCCCTACAAGGAGATGCAGAGGTTCAACAGGACCGTGCGTCCCGTGGCCACTCTGACACACGTGGCTGACCTGGATCTCAGCAATAACCGCCTGGAGCTGTTCCCATTTTCCTTTTTCCACAGCCTGGGCTCCCTGCACAGCCTCAGCCTGGCAAGGAACTGTCTCCAGGACGTGGCCAGGGAATCTGTCACCAATGGCATGGAGCTGTCTGTGCGCTCGCTGGACCTCCACAGCAACGCACTCCGTGTGCTGCCACGCTGGTTCTTCGATTCCCTGCCCCATCTGGAATCCATGGATCTGGGCTCCAACAGCCTCCAGCCTTGTGAGAGCCAGGGGAGTGACCAGGGAAGGGATTTCCAAGGGGATTCTCACACATCAGCCCCCAGAGACACCTGCACCCCCTTCTACAACGTGCCTCACTTGAAGCACCTGAGCCTGTCCAAGAACAACATCTCCAGGCTGCAGCCCCGCACCTTCAGCGGGACCCCACTGCTCTCCCTGGACCTGTCAGGAAACAGGGACTTGTCCATGCCCACGGGAACGCTGGCAGGGTTGGAGCTGTCCTTGCAGGAGCTCTCTCTGAGGGACAACCAGATGGACGAGGCAGCGCTGCCCTGCCTGGGCACGCTGCGGGTGCTGGACCTGTCGGGCAACCACCTGAGCCTGCTGCCCACAGGGCTTTCCTGCTCCCCTCTGGAGAGCCTGGACGTTCGGAATAACAACCTGCAGGCCTTGGGAACAGTGGGGAGCTGGTCCCACAGCCTGAGGGCCGTGTCTGTGGCTGGGAACCCCTGGAGCTGCTGCTCTCTGGGCTGGCTGGACGCGCTGCGTGCGGCCGGCGTGGCCGTGCCGGACCTGCGCCAGGCCCGCTGTGTCTTCCAGGAGCACGGCCGGAATATCTCAGCCAGGATCACCAGCACTCCCAAGTGGATCTGTCCCCAAGCCAAGGGCACTGCCTCCCTGGCTCTGCTGGTGGCCCTGATGGGCCTTTCCCTCCTTGTTGTCTGGGTTTTCTGCCTCCTGAGGAAAGGGCGGAAGGCTCCGGGATGTGCGGGACTTGAGAGCAACAGGGTGGGAGTGTCCCAGCCCCATCCCAAAGGACAGGGGCCAGCCGAGGAGAGGCCACCTGACAGCATCACCAAAGTGTAGCCCAGAGCTGCAGCCATCGGTCAGAACTCTAATTATTATTAATAATATTAATATTAATAATATTATTGTGGTTGAAGTCTCGCTGGTACCTGCGTGATTTGTGAAGGAGCCTGGTGGGTGCTGGGCTCTGAGCCACCTCCCCTTCTCCAGAAGGGACATTCCCTGTCCTCTCTGATCCCTGCCAGAAATTAAACCTGGAATTTGGGGTGCCAGCATGCATTCCCATCTCTCAGCACAGGAAACCAAGCCCTGGCTGCACTGAGCACCCCCCTTCCTCCACATCACACTCAGCTGGACGGGAATTGTCTCCATTGGGGCCACCTGGCTTTTCCCAGCTAGCCCAGCAGCCCCTTTAAGAAGGTTTAATAGCTCTGCTAATGCCCTGCTGCTGCTCCTGAAGCAGGAGGGAATGGGAATGGTTCTTGGTGGTGGCTCTCAGTGCCGGGATGGGGAGGGGGTTTCTGTGGGACCCTGCCCACCTCTCTGCTGCCTTTCCTTGCTGGGAGGAATTCCACCCTGTCCTCCCCTGCTGGGATGGTGGGAATGGGAGAAGTGGGGGGTCTGTGCTGTCCCTGGCTGGCACAAGATGTCCCACCCTCAGCGCCAGGACCCCCGAGGTGATGGTGGCAGACACAGCTGGTCCCAGCATGAGGTAAGTGCTGCCTGAGTTGTGGTCCTGGGTGGATTTGGCACCCTCTGAGCACCCCCAAAGCCAGGAATGATCCAGGGGCTTGGCAAGACAGCAGGAGGAGGTGTTAAGTGGGATTGTCACAGTGTGGTGGTGTCCATCTCTCCCTTTAGTGACCTGTCCAGCTTCCCAGGGCAGAGTAGGAGCACCTGAGGGGCTGGAACAGCTCCAGGAAATACAAAACTGAGGCTGCAGTGAAACCTTTAACATTTCACATCCATTTGGTTCCACCTTGGAAGTCCCCAGCTGGACCCAGTCACCTCCACACACCTGGTGGGTTGGAGCTGTGTGAGCAAAAGGGTTCGGAAGTTACTTAAAATCCCAATTGCTTCATTTTCTTCCTTTTTTAAATTTTTTTTTTTCTTTCTAGCTTATAATGGTTTTACTGGGAAGCAAAAAGGGCATTTTTGCTGTAAAATATGTCAGGGCTTCAGCTTCCTGTCCTTTGCTGGGCATACAGCTCCAGGCCCCCCGGTGACTTTGGTGGCCCCCACATTTCCAGCCCTGCCTCAGTTTCCCTCTGATGCAGAGCTCTGTGCCCTGTCACAGCGAGTGTCTGTGGCAGGGGAGCCTGTCACTGTGTGTCACCACCCTGCAGGACCTTGGGGGCAGGAGGGAGCCCAGCCTCCTGCTCCAGGGCTGCTGTTTGCTGGATCTCCTGCTCCCACACCCCATTCCCCTTGGAGCCCCGTGTCCCTGTCAGGTCACAGAAGTCCCTGTGCCACAGCCACCACCTCCCTTGTCCGCTCCCATCCCGGTGCTCCCTGGCTCCATCCCCAGTGCTGTCCCCAGCTGATGTCCCTGGGGAGTCACAGCCAGCTGGGCTCTGGGCATGGAGTGTCCCAGGACCTGCTGTGCCCACCTGGGGCTTCTCCCCAGCACTGTCCCCTGTCCTTGGGTGACACCTGAGCACCCTGGGGCAGGGACCTGCTTCCCCAGTGTCCCCAGGTGAGTTCAGACTGTCCCTGGGGCAGGATTTGCTTTTCCAGTGCTGGGACAGCAGCTGGGTGATGCCGTGCCAGCCTCCTGCCCCAGCGCTCGGTGACATGGCAGGGACACTTCAGGGCCCTGAGTGCCTTCACTGGGTGTTTCTGCTGCATTTTTGTGGCCTCTGCTCCTCGTTTAACCCTTCCCAGGCTGTGTCACCGGGAGATGCCCTGGCTTTGTGCTGCTGCTCCCACCAGCGTTAAGCTCGGAGCCGGGGCCGGGCGGGGACACTGGGGCCGGGCGGGGACACCGCGTGCCACCGGGTGCTCAGGGACACCATGTGCTGCCGGCACTCGGTGCCAGGCGCTGCCTCGGGCATCCTGAGTGTCCCCAGCCGTGTTTATCCAGTGTCGTGTCCCCGCGGAGCAGCAGCTGGCGGGGGTTGACCCCTTCAGGGCAGTGGCATTTGGGGACAGCGGCTGCTGATGCTGAAGTTTCTCTGGGGATTGAAACATCTGCTGGGAAATGCACTAAAAATAGTGGGGAGAGAATCCTGGGGCTGGGTTTGCCCCACAGAAAAAGCTCCCAAATAACTGGACTTGATCTCAGAGGATTTTTCCAGCTCTAAGGGTTCTGTAAAGCCCAGGGTAAGGGGGGAAGTGGGAGAATTTCCCAGGCTGAGGAGGGGCTGTGAGGGTGTGGAAAATGAGCCAGGGCAATGGTGTTGGGTTATCACCATTATTGATGTCTGTGTGCTTTCCTGCCTCAAAGAAAAACGGGATTCCAAGCTGTGCCCACATGGATTTGCCAAGAATTGAATCTGAGGGCAATGCCCCCTTCTTCCAGCCCCAGGAACAGCTTGGCCAGGAGCAGGACATGAGGTAAGCCTGTGCTGGCCCAGGGTGGGACAATGAGGTGGCACTAAACCACGTTTGTGTCCCCAGAACCAGCACGAGGCCGAGAGAAACCCGGGCTCTGTGCTGAGTTCTGCACTGCTCCTCATCCGGAGCTTCCCGTGCTTTAGGGGAAATGGTTTCCCTATCCCAGGCATGTCTTGGCATTTCCAGTGTTTTCTTGATCCAGAAGGAGGGCAAAAGATCTGTAGAATATTAAATTTTGAACAAATAAAGCGGCGATGCCAAAAACGTTGCATTTTCGTGTCAGGCTGGAAGGCGGCAGGAGTGTAAATTTTGGTCTGACAAAAAAAGCAGCAGTGATTAAAATGTTGTGACCATTGACAAATTTTCTAGAGAACTGGTTGAGAAATCCAGCAAAACTCATTCTTTCCAGTGGAAAGCCTTCACATTTCACTGGATCTGCATTTTCAAAGAAGAATAGATTTTATCAAAAATTTCCACCGAGCTGTTTCACTAACCCAGGCGGAAATTACCTTCCCTCAACTCACTTCAATTACAGCAGTTTTGCTTTTCCCCTTTTTCTTCTTTTTTTTTTTCCCTTTTCCCTCTTTTTTTTTTTTTTGGCCTTTTTTTTTTCATGATCCAGAGTTTCATCTGCTGCAGGAGCTGAAGGATATCCTGGGAAGTGCCTGGCAGATTTCCCTCCTCAGGCCATCCCCGCTGGGCAGAGCGAGGAGAGGAGAGCATTTCTCTTCCTCTGTGTTCAGACAGAGCCCAAATTAACCTAAATCTCCCCAGTTCTGTTAAGATAAGGAAGATAAGGAGTCCTTTCACCCAGCTGAGGGTACATGCCCTTCCAGAGGGCTGCTGGAGGTACCATTTCTTTTATTTTGCCTGATATTTCTGCAGCTCCCATTCCCAAATCCTTTTGATCTCATCCAGGCCCATCCTGGTGCCGTGTCCTGGCTGCCTGGGGTGTTCTCCTGGTGAATGTGGCGCTTTCTCTGTGGCTTTGGGATGGGACAAGAGGCTGGTGGCACCTCCAGGACACCACCCTGTGTCCCTCCCATCCGTAGGGCTGCTTCCCATTATCCCTCCCTGCCACAGCGGCTCCGTGACTGGCACAGCTCCCCTGGCAGCCCTTCCCAGCCCTGGGGGAGGCCGGGCGTGTTGTTCATGACACTTTTCCTCCTCTCCAGGGGCTCTGGCCGGGCTGGGACCTCCATTCCGAGGTGCCTCGGGGTGTGGCAGATGTGGAACGTGTCCCCCCGGGTCCCTGCTGCCTCTGCAGCGTCACCTCCCCGGGCTGGGGGGACAGATGTGCCACATGTTCTGCAGCTGGATCCTCCCTCCCAGCTGTGCCAGGGCTGCCCACACGGGGACACTGCCGTGGGCACAGGGAAGCTGTCACAGGGACGTGCCACCCTGTGTTTGTCCCCATGCAGATCCGCTGTCCCTGCTCCCAGGTTTGGGACGCTGTGGGGACAGGTGGCACTGGGAGGTGGCTCTGCAGGAGCAGGTCCCTGCCACCCCCAGCCTGTTCTCGTGCTCTCTGGAAAGAGGAAGGGGATGGTTTCCCTGAAGGGAAGCTGAGCTCCGTGGCAGGAAGGGCTCCTGCCACCCAGGGTGACCGTCCCACTGTCCCCAGCCTCCAGAGGGGACAGGGTGCTGCCAGTGTCCACCAGCAGCAGGAAGCTCATCCCCAGTCCCTGGGCTGTGGCAGGAGCTGGACCGCCAGTGCCACATGACCACGTGCCACCACCCCCTGCGTCACTGTCACCGCACTGGCACAGCCTCCATGCGCGCAAAGGGATGTGGCTCCTCGCAGGCTCGGCCGGTAGGTGAGGCTGGGGTGGGGAACCGAGGTCACCGGGGCCTGAGGGGACACTTTGATGGCAGGGAAACCCCTGGGAGGTCCCTGGATCTGCCCCTGCTGAACCCGGAGTCAGGGACATTGGGAGCTGGGACAGTGCATGGGGACCCTGCGTGCTCACAAGGGTCACAATCCACTCACAGGTTTTGCTTTGGCCCCTGGGTCCCAGGAGTGAGGAACATCAACCTTTGGCCCTCCAGGACAACTCTTTGCTGTTCCTCCACTAAAGCCTCACCCCAGGAGCTCTGAGCCAGCACCAGCTGTGCCCCTTTAGCCCCTCCTAGAGCTGTCCCCTCCCTGTGTTCCCAGGGATGGGACGGGACCTTTCCCAATGTTCTCCCGGCTCCTTTGGTCTCCCCCCAGCAGTGAAGCCCCAGCTGGGGAAGGGAAGCCTCTCCTGGGTTGGGAATCCCCTCCTGCCCCCCACCAGCCCAGTTTGGAAGGGGAAGGAAGGGGTATTTTTAGCACTCATGGTCTGCTTGTTCCAAGGATTGAGCTAAAAAGAGGAATTGACGTTCAAAGGAGGGCTGGCTTTGCTTTAAAAGGAAGGGTTTGTGTTTTTCCTACTACTCAGTCATTGCAAAACTTTCCTGTGAAGAGGGATTGGTAAAAATACCTCTGGTGGGAGGTGGCAGCTTGTGACATCGGTGACATGGGTTCCCTGTGCTGGCATTGCTTCCACTGCCCAGTTCCCAGGGGGAGCTCCCACCTCAAAGGAAGGGATGGGCTGGGACTAAGCCCCCCTGTCCTGGTGCTGATCACAGCTCCTGTGAAGGGAATTCCCTCCATCCTGGAGTGGTTCCTCCCTTCATTCCAGCTCTCCAGCAGCTTTTCCTGACCATTCTCACGGCTTCAGAACCCCCTGGGAGCTCAGGTGCCTTCCCAGCTGCCAACCAAACTCCTGGAGATCCTCCAGGTCCCAAAACAAGACCATCCACACCCTGAGGAGGAGTTGAGCTGGAAGCCACAAGGGACAGAATCCCAAACATCAGGTTTGGTGTTTAGGGGTCATGCCTGTGCTCCTCCTTTTCTCTCTGCCCTTTAAACAATCCCCTTGTGACTCGGTGGGGGATTTGGGAGTGACCTGAGACCCTTCCTCAAGGGCCATTGCTCCAGCACAGTGGGCCTTTGCATCCCAAGGGAATGGTTTGGGAAGGACAATGACTCAAGCCTTGTGTCCTGGTTTCAGTGCACGTGATCCCAAGTCAAAGGAAGGTCACAAGGGGACAATAATCAACCATCCAGGCATGTCCTGTCAAGGTGAGAGGTCACAAGGGGGATGGCAACCACCCCCCAGTTTGGTTCTGTCAAGGAAAAGCACCTTCCAGAAAGAGAGGAAGTGGCACAGCCAGGGAGAAAGTGAAAGCCTAAAAAGTGGGTTTCAACCTGTCACCCTTTCCAAAACCTGAGGTCAGCTGGGCTTGTGTCAAATGTCAGCTCCCACTGTGGGAAATCCCGGCCCACCTGGTTCCTCACGGGCTCCAGGAAGCACTTTTGGTTTTGTGCTTGTAGGAGAGAGAGATCCCGAGAAATGCACCTTGTGACAGGCACGAGCCAGCCCTGGTGCCCTGCCATGGCAGAAGAAGAAATAGAAATCATGAGCCTGTGCTGACCCTAAAGGAGGGTGCAGCCAGGGGGGTTGGGATCTGTTCCCAGGGGACGAGGGACAGCACAGAAGGACACAGCTTCCAGCTGTGCCAGGGGAGGTTTAGTTGGATATTAGGGAAAAATTCTCATGGAAAGGGCAGCCAGGTGGAGTCATAGCCCTGCAGTGACTTAAAATCCATGTGGATGTGGCACTTTGGGGACACGGTCAGCAGTGGCCTTGGCAGTGCTGGGGGGAACATCCTGCAGCGGCTCATCCCTCAACCCCCTCCCAGGTGCAGTTTGGGGACGGTCACTGCTGATGACAGCTGGCCTCCCTCCAGCCCCTCCTTGTCCCTAACCCTGTGAATGGCACCGAAACCGCCTTTGTTCCCCTCCCCGGGGGGCAGGACCCGCTGCTATAAAAGGGGCGGTGGGGCCGAGCGGCCCTGCTCCCAATCCGTGTCCCAGTCCCACGCCCCATCCCAGTCCCTGTCCCGGCCCCATCCCAGCTCCCAGACCCCATTCCAGCTCCATCCCAGTCCCTGTCCCCATCCCAGCCCCATTCCCGGCCATGGGCCGCCCCGCCGCCGCTGCCACCGCGCTGCTGTGCCAGCTGGGGCTCTCCGCAGCCATCCAGTGGCTGTGAGTAGGGGATCTCCCCTTCCAGAGCCCCTCTTGGCGGTCCCTCGGGGAGCTGCGGCCCCCCCAGTGACCCCCAGGTCTCCCCACAGCGGGCTGGCGGGCAGCGGGGTGTCCTGGAACGAGAGCCAGCACTGCCGGCTGCTGGTGCCGGAGCTGCTGCAGCTGTGCCGCCGGCACCTGGAGGTGATGCCCGGCATCGTCCGGGCTGCCCGGCGGACCCAGGCGCTGTGCCAGCAGAGCTTCGCAGACATGCGCTGGAACTGCTCCTCCATCCAGCGTGCCCCCAGCTTCGGCCCCGACCTGCTCACAGGTAAGGGATGCTCCTCCCGCCCGGTCCGCTCTGCCCCGGGAGCGTCCCGGGCTGGCAGCGCGTCCTGCCTTGGGTTTCTGTTTTGGGGGAAATATCCTGCCTTTACGTGGTGTTAATCCTGTGCAAGTTCCGTCTGGGGGAGGTGACAGACGGCGACTTCCACTTCAAACAGCTGCCAGGCTGTTTGAATGAAGACCAGAGGCTCCAAAAAAGCCGGGGAAGAGGTGGGGATGCGGTCAGTGTAACCCAGGGACCACAGGTTAAAACACAAAACTTGAGAGGCCTTGTGTATATCCTGCTGCAAGACGAAATAAAGAACCTCCTTGCACTGAGAGATGTGCGAGAGAGGAGTCTGTCTGGGCAGCGAGGAACGAAACATCCCTGTTTTCTCCGCAGGAACACGGGAAGCCGCCTTCGTGCACGCCCTGGCAGCGGCGGCCGCGGCGCAGGGCATCGCCCGCTCCTGCGCCTCCGGAGAGCTCCCGCTGTGCTCCTGCGGCCCCGGGCCCGCCGAGCCCCCCGCGCCCGGCTCCCGCTGGGGCGGCTGCGGCGACAACCTGAGCCACGGGCTGCAGCTCGGAGCCGCCTTCACCGACGGCTCGGCCAGAGCCGGCACCGGGGGCACGCCCGGGCTCCGCGCCGTGAACCGGCACAACGGAGCCGTGGGGCGGGCGGTGGGTGCGGGACCCCCGGGGCTGCGGGGTGGGATGGGGGATATGGAGCCCGCCAGGGCTGCTGCGGTCTGGGATGGGGTGTAGGAGCCCCCTGGGACTCACACGGTGGGTCCGAGCCCCCTGGGATAGATGGAGCCAGCACAGCAGGAGCAGAGGTCACTAATGTAATGCAGCAGATGCCAGAGAGGTTTTTGCGATGTCCTGAACATCAGGGGGCAAAAAAACGCTTTAAAAGTGTCTTAGCAGACACACCCCCGCACACACTGCTGCCCACCCCCAGACATCCCATACCCTTTCCACAACCAGCACACCTGACACTTCACACCAGTACCCCCAGTCAGCTGATATTTCACACCAGTGCTCCCAGTGCTTCTTTGCACCCTTCTCACTGGAAACAGAGCTCATCCTGCCCCAGTCCAGCTGGGCTCCCCAGCCCATCCCATCTTTGTGCTTCCATCCACTCCTGTTCCCCAGGTGGGGAAGCCTCCAGCCCCACTGTCAGCTCCTCTGGAAGTTCCCCAATGATCAGGGTCTTATCAGAAGGGATTGAAGCAGGGCTGAGCCCCTGATTGCCCCCGTATATTCAGCTCTGAGCCCTTTCATGCCTTGAAACTCCCATGGGTGCCCTTGGGAGTCAATCTCTGGGTAGTACCAGGAGAGAGCAAACTCACCTCTTTCTCTGCAGGTGCTCAGTGACTCCCTGGATACCAGGTGTAAATGCCACGGGGTGTCAGGCTCCTGCTCAGTGAAGACCTGCTGGAAAGGGCTGCCAGACCTGGGTGAAATCGCCTCTGACCTCAAATCCAGGTACCTGGCAGCCCTCAAGGTGAGCCATCGGCTCGTGGGGCCCAGGAAGCAGCTGATCCCCAAGGAAGGGGATGCCAGGCCAGTGACAGAGATGGATCTGGTTTACCTCATCAACTCTCCTGACTACTGCACCCCAAACCCCCAGCTGGGCTCTCTGGGGACACAGGACAGGTAGGGAGCACTCAGCCTCTGATTGCAGGAGTGCCTGTTCTGCTGGCTTTGAGTGTCCTGGGCAGCTGATGTGGCTGGGCTGGGGTGAGCCTGCAGCAGATCTCTGAATCCCTGAATCCCTGTCTTGTGAGACCCCTCCTGCACTGCTGCATCCAGGTCTGGGGCCCCCAACACAAGACACACAGGGACTTGTTCAACAAGAGATGGCCATGGAGATGCTCCTAGGGCTGGAGCCTCTCTGCTCTGGAGCCTGGCTGGGAGAGCTGGGGGTGCTCACCTGGAGAGGAGGAGGCTCAAGGGAGAGCTCAGAGACCCTTCCAGTGCCTAAAGGGGCTCCATGAGAGCTGGAGAGGGATTTGGGACAAGGGATGGCGGGACAGGACAAAGGGGAATGGTTTTCCACTGACAGGGTTAGTTGGGATATTGGGAAGGAATTCTTCCCTGTGAGGGTGGAGAGACCCTAGCACAGGGTGCCCAGAAAAGCTGTGGCTGCCCCTGGATCCCTGGAAGTGCCCAAGGCCAGGCTGAACAGGGCTTGGAGCAGCCTGGGCTGGTGGAAGGTGTCCCTGCCCATGGCAGGAGTGGCACAGGGGGATCTTTAAGATCCCTTCCAACCCAACCATTCCATGATTCCATAATCCTGCTGCCTCCTCTGAGCACACCAACTCTGGGAGAGGCCAGGGCTGGGGAGGGCAGGTCCCCAGGTCCCACATCTCTCCACAGGCCGTGCAACAGGAGCTCTGTGGGCAGTGACAGCTGTGACCTGCTGTGCTGTGGCCGTGGCTACAACACCTACACGGAGGAGGTGCAGGAGCGCTGCCACTGCCGCTACCGCTGGTGCTGCTCCGTGGTGTGCAGGCGCTGCCGGCGCAGCCTGGAGAGACACGTCTGCAAATGAGGAGGAGAACCTCTGCTGGCACCCACCAGGCACGGCTGGACACCAGGAGCCCATCCCAAGGGATGCCCCCAGCAAGGAGGAGGCTGTGCAGGAAGCCTGGTCTCTCATGGAAAGCCTCAGACTGAGAGATTTTGGGAAGCCTTCGATCCCTTCCAACCCAGACCTCGGGGCAGGACAAAGAGCTGCCCTCCTGCAGCCGGGCCAGCCCTTTGTCTCCAGCTGGGAAAAGCCATTGATCACTCCACAGACCCCTTTCTCCAGAGGGAACGGAGACCCTGGGCTGCCATTGTCCCTTTGCAGGAGGATTCTGACAGCTGCCTGAAAGCCAGGAGTGATAGATGGAAGGGGGATAGATGGATGGGACTGGGAGAAAGCTGCAGGGATGGAACGCTGCTGCTTCGGGTGAGGGGGTCATGGGCATCCTTTGGGAACAGGATTCTGCTGTGGGCTAATCCAGGGTGCTTCTCCTCAGGGAGAACACTGCTCCAGGGCCCTTTGCAGCACCACAGTGGAGATATTTGCAGGGAGATGGTGCTGCTCTTGTTGAAGGCAGAGACATCAGGGAGAGGAGAGCTCCTGGGGGCTGCCAAAACTGGGCAGCCTGGCAAACCCACCCCTGACTGTGTGTTAACAACCCAGCCATGGCATCACTGTAGCTTCTGCCCCCATGTCAGAGGTGGGAGCACACCCAATACATGAAATTCTCATGGCTTGTCCTTCCTGCCCCTCCTTCTGGCCCACTGAAGTCTTCAGCTCACTCCTTCCACCCTTAGGATACCCTTTGGAATTCTGGCCTGGAGAAGAGACACAACTCCAGGGCCTTGGGGAAGCAAGAAATAACCTTTATTTTCTGTACTTAATGTAAGTGGGATTCCAGTGTGTGTTTTTAAATAAATGTTATAACTCTCTGTGCCTTGTTTTCTAGGACAGTCTTTCCTGCATGTCCTTCCGAGCTGGTCCTGGAGAAAGAGGCTGTAAGGAGAGCCTTGTGTCCATAAAGCCCCATGTCCATACATTTCCTTTCACACACCTGAGGACCAGCTCACTTTAATCTCTTTCTGCTTCTCACTGGCCCAGCTTTGCCTTTAATTACAGATCCCTGCCTTCCTCAGCTCCTGTTTTATCCCCTCCTTCCTCAGGTCTCTGTCTGCCTGGGAACTGTCTGTCTGGGATTCAGGGCTGGTGCTGGAAGTTGTGGCAGTCCAGGGCTGTTTTCTTATCCTTGGGAATGTGGGCTGGATGAGCCAAGGGTGTGTGTGAACAGCAAGGGGAGCCAGGGATGGGGGCTCCCACATTTCCCAAAGCACAAAATCTGGCCGAGTGCTTGGATGGGATGAGATTCCTGCTGGTGCAGCCTTTGGAGAGAAAGGATGAGTCCAAACAGGTGCTGGAGGGACTCCACAGCACCAGGAGGACAGGTAAATGGGATGGGAATCCTGGGATGGATTCCTGCAGCTCCCAGCATTGCCTGGAGGCTCCAGCATCTCCGCTTTATTTTTGGTTCCCATTGACTGGAGTTGGCGGCGCTCAGCCCGAGCCCAGCTGGACGATTACTCATTTCCACATCCATTCCGTCACTTTTAATGGTCTCTGCTGGGTCACGGAATCAATGCACGAGCTTTCCTTGTAAAACATCCCCTCCCCTTAATGTGCTCCAGGTTTCTGTGCGAGCAGGGGAGGAATCAGAGGTGGCTGGAGAGGATGCAGGGCTGGGAGTCGAGCCCCAGCTCGGGGAGTGCCAGGAGTTATCAGCTCTTAATGCCACTGACGGGCTCTGCCTGCTGCCAGCTCCCTTCCGAGAGCGCCTGGAAATCCGCAGCTGCCCAAGGCCAAAAGCTATCTCGAGTTTTCCTTTCAGAATGCAATTAGGGGTCGGTGCCCGGCATTGCCCAGAAAAAGGAGTTTCGGCTGCCGGGCTGCACAACAGCCGCAGTTTCTGCGTCCAGCCGGCTGCAGGTACTAAATCAGGATTGCCTCAATGCCTTCCCTCCATCCGCCTCCCAGCGCATCCCAGATCACGGGGAGGTGACAACGGGAGGGGCGAGATACTCCGCCGAGCATTGCAAAACGAGCTGGTGAGAGGGAAAAAAAAGCCGGGAAGGATCTTGTGGAGTGAGAACTCCAGCCAGGAGGGTGGGAAATGGGATTTGCATTTGGTAACTACAAACACACATCGCCTGGGGGAAAGGAGAGGAGCCACAATAGCAAGGAATGCCCAGGGGAGCTGTCGGGATCCCTCCTAGAGAGGTCCCGTTGGAATTTCTGCCTGGGAAAAGGCAGGGTCAAGTGCTGAATATGCAGAATTCACTCCTCCTCTCCCTCCTTGACTCCAAGCCCGACAGGGCAGAGCTGGGAAAAGACTGGAGGGGCCACTGTGCCGCCGGAATCCTGCGGGAAATGGGAAGGCGCCGGAATTAGCTGGAGAGTGCAAAGGGTCAGGCTGGCAGGGGGTGACAGCTCTGTGACAACGCTCTCAGCGGGGGCTGCTGGAATCCGGGCCCACACCTGGAATTAGCAGGGATGTGGGATCTGCAGGGCCGGGAGCATCCCCCAGGAACCGGGAGCCAGAGGATGGATGCGGTGGAGATGATCCCTGTGCTTGTCCCCGGGGGTTTTAAGGGAGTAACGTTGGTGTGAACGTGGTTATTTGTTGCTGGTCAGACTTGTGCAAACAATAAAGTCGGGAGGAAGGCGAGTGATATTCATGGGTTCTTTTGATTTTGCTGTTAAAACGCTGATTTATTTATTTTTCCTTTTATTCCCTTATTCATTGAGGGATGCTGCATAACTAATTCCAGGAGGATAATATGAGCAACAAACCGTTGGTAATTAAGTATTTTGGAGGAAGGATGGCTCCAAAAGTTCAAGGATATGTTGGGTCATTTCTTCTGCACAGCCCTGGAGTGCTGCTCCCACTGGAATGTGGATGGGAGCCTGCATTTGTTTTTCCTTGTGCTGCTCACAGGGCTGAGCTAGGAGGAGCAGAAAGCCCAGGGTGGGCTCAGCTGTGACATCTCACAGAATTCAGGGAATCCTGGAATTGTTTGGGTCGAAGGAGCCTTAAATCTCACCCAGTTCCACCTCCTGGCATCAGCAGGGAGCCTGCTCCTACCCCAGGGTGCTCCAAGCCCTGTCCAGCCTGCACTGCTGGGAATATTTGGGGGATGTTGCTGTGACCTTTGGGGTGGTTGGCCCGTGCACCGTCACACCACAAGGCACACACATGAGTAAACGCCTGTATTTAAGGAAAAACCCTTCCCTCTCTGTTCTCCTTTATTCCCGGGGTGTTCAGCAGCGGCGTGGTGCTCTAAGGATGACAAACCTAAACAGGGATTGTCCGTGTGGGGATCTTCAGCTGAGGGACAGGGACAACCAGGGGTGAGTAAGAGCCATAAGGTCTGAGGGGAAGCAGCGGCAGCCTGAGGGGTTTTGGGTGCAGCTGGAAGGTCAGTTCTGGCAGGGGCCGTGGGGGTTCGGGCGGGAAGCAGCTCTCCATCCCTTGGAATCATGGAATTCTTGGATGGTTTGGCAGAAAGGACCTTAAAGCCCATCTTGTTCCAGCCCCTGCCATGGGTAGGGACACCTTCCTCATCCCAGGTTGCTCCAAGCCCCATCCAGCCTGGACTTGGACACTTCCAGGGATGGGGCAGCCACAGCTCTGCTGGGAAATCCATTCCAGAGCCTCCCCACCCTCACAGGGAAGGATCTGATTTCTCCCAGGCCAGGCAGCCATTCCAGCAGGAAGGGAGCCTGGGGCCTCTCTCCTGTGCAGAGCAGACACTGGAGTGGCCGTGAACCTCCCATCCCTCCTGAGCCTCCTTTTCTCCAGGCTGAGCCCCCCAGCTCCCTCAGCCGCCCCTCCCAGGGTGACTCCAGCCCTTTTCCATCTCCATTCCTTTTCCCTGCTCTCTCCCTCGCAGTGAGAACGAGGAGCTGGAGGAGATCGCCTCAGCTGACCTGAAGTTCATGCTGCTGCCGGCGCTGCTGGGAGCCCTGACGCTGAAGCAGGTGGACCTGAGCAGGAGAAGGGAGCACCTGGAGAGTGCCCGGGAGCACTTCCTGCGCTTCCTGAAGCTCTGCAGGAACTACGGGCTGGGATCTTTCCAGCTGCCCCCCGGCACCTCCAGGGAGGAGGAAACCGGGAGCCCCTCGGCCCCCCAGGACCCCACCCAGCCCAACCTGGTGGCCATGGCCATGAACAGGAAAGCCAAAATTGAAAGGTGGGCTCCGTGCACTGGGAAGGGCTTTGGGAATCACTCTGGGTGGAGCAGGAGCCTGAGGCAGTGCAGGGTTGGACAGGGAAGAGCTTCCCTGGCCATTGGAATAATTTGATCATAAAATGCTCATTTGAAGAGATGCAGCTCGCTGTTTAATGGGTGGGGCTGGGGAGGGACATTTGTGTCTCCAGTTTCTGGTCTCTGAGGAAAAACTGCTCAAAAACTTAAAATTAGCTCTTTAATCTTTCATAATTAATCTTGCAATTAGTTCTTTAATCACTGCTGGCAGTACAAAGACTTCCAGACTGGAAGTTTCCTACCAGTGTGTTCATTAGAGCTTGCAAAAAAGGTTGTTGGTGCCTTTGATGCTTTGGTTGGGATTTTGGCCACTGAGTTGCTCATTGTGGCAGCACTGGCAGGTCCAAACTGGGCTGGACTTGCTGGAATTGTGTAGAAAAGCATAGAAAAATATGATTTATATTCTAATTGGGAAGGGATTCTTTTTTAGAATTACTTCTTTAAGCTCCTTGTCCTCTCATCTCCCAAAGGTTTCTTGGCTCGTATTGTTCATTCTTCAGGTGACAATAACTGAGGGAAGGAGGACACAAGGATTTAGCTTGGAAGTGTTTGATATGAGCAGTTTCCCCTTTAACAGCTAATTCCTGAAAAAGTAAAAATAAATTTACCCTGGAAGTTTATTATATAGGGAGTTCCCTTTAATAACTAACTTCCGAATAAGTCAAAAAGTCCAAAAAGCCAAAATTATATTTAAAAAACAATGCCTGCACACAAAAACCACCTGAGGCAGAAGTTGGAAAAGCATTTTATTCTGTTTGTGTGACATGGAATCAAGCCTAACCAGCCATTCCATTGATTTTCTCAGTCCTGCTTTCTCCAGTAGACTGATGTTCCCAGTCCTGCCTAATTTTACCAGGAAAACTTAAATTTCCAAGGATTCCTCAGTGTTTAGGAGGAGAATAAAATCATTGAGGCCCCTCTGAATTAAATGTCATTTTACAGCTGCTTTTAACAGACAGGAGAGGCTGAAATTCCAACAGGAACCAGCAAAACTTCCATGAAATTTGGTTGATCCTCTTAAAAAGGCTGGTGAAGACCCCAGGGCTGGGCTGTGCTGGAGAAAAATGATTCCATGATGTGATTTTGCTGTGTTTGAGCCAGGTACAAACAGAAGAAGGAGCTGGAGAACAAATTGGCCTCCATGAGCAGCTCCGTGGAGAGCGGGACAGCAGATGAGGATCAGATCCGGGAATTTTACATCCTCCAGATCCAGAAGTGGATCGCCACCAGCCTGGAGGAGATGGAGAGCATCGACCAGGAGCTGGTGATCCTGAAGAGCAGGGATGCAGCCAGGCAGGTGAGAGAGCTCTCCTGGGATCCAGGGCATGAGGGAATGAATCCCAGAGGCATTCAGAGTTTTATTCAGTGACTTCCCAGTTGGAATTGAGCTCGATCACAGCATGAGCTGATGGGCTTTCCTTCATTCTGAATTCTGAGTTTTGGGATGGGCTCTGCTGCCACACTTACCCCACAGTCCCAGCCTGTGGAATGCTGCAGCTTGGAACATCAGAGCTGAACTAGGCTGTGCAAAGACTTTTCTGCAGATCCTTAGTTCTGAAGAGCAGTTGGGTTTGGAAATTAAAATAAG